GTGGAAGAATGTGGCAAGCACATAGTTTCAGCAATAAACTCTTTTCCCCCCAATCAACCCATAATACCATATGTCTAGATAACTATAACACAGCAGACAAGAGTATTATTACTATGTCCTAAGGTTTCATGTCAGTTCATATTCTGATTGGTCCAGTTCAGTTCTTCAACAAAGCTTTCACTTAATGATTCATTCTACATGGATGTTATTTCTGAACTTATATAAACATACAACTTCATAATAGAATTTGGCATTGGTTTTATACTGCCTGCAAAGTAGTCTATTTAATGTAGGTAAGTTTTAGCAAAAAAAATAATAAAAATGACGAAGTTGACTTCTTTTTATCACAGTGTGATAAATACAGATATAATTTCATTCCATCTTCATGATAGTTCTTTAAATTTTATTATATTCATTTTATATATGAGGGTATTATGGCTCTGAAAGGTGAAGTGACTAACCCAAACCAACCAGCTAGTAAGTAGCAGAACTGAGACCTGTAGCCTGAGCTGAGTCCAAAGTGTATGTTTAGACAGCCTACAAAGTGCAAGGTCATTCAGGTGAGGGACCTGGTGGTATCTGGTTTCTTTTAAGATGTAGAAAGCAGAGTCATATGAGGTTTGTTTTTCCTCTTCCAAAGTATTCTTGTAGGGAGCCATCTTTACAAACCTGTGAGAAAATTTTAATCTTGTAACAGTGATAGAATAAAGATAATGGTTCAATTTTGATTATAGAGTACCCAAATTTATGCTGAAAATCCATGCCTTTCAGTGCATTTATGGTCTGTAATTGCGATAAATATTTTCTTCAGAGCAGCTTAAACTTTAACATAGGCAGACAAACAAATCAAATTATCATCTTGAAGACCACTTCCTCCCTCTAGTGACTAGGAATAGGAACACCATGTAAAAAAGATTCTCAGCATGTGTGCTCATCGCCCTTCAGTTAAAGGAGCAATTTTGTTTATTATAAAGACTCAAGGGGGAGCATTTAATAGGGGCATTAGAGATGTTGGACATCAGGATAGTTCCCTATATAAAATAACATACAATTAAACAGTCATGTAGAAGAAAAACTATTATTTAAGCCTAGAATCTAGCAGTATTTCACTACTGAAAACAAAACAAAAAACAGTTTTAATATATGCTTCATTTTAAAAGTAATTTCATCTGCTGTTATTATTAATTGTAAAATGCATTGTTATTTTACTATGAAAAAGTTGCCAAACACAAAATTTTCTAATTCTTAGAATTTTTGTTTTTTACATATTGAAAGACATTTAGATTTTTAAATGTTTTAAAAATCATATAGCATGCATGGTATACATAAAAAAGGAATTATAAGTGAAATAAAAAATGTTTCATTAATTATTTCTCTGTTTAAAATAATGATCTTAGTCACTTTTGACTCAAATTTCTTGGTGTCCATGTTTTTTTCAAAACAGTATTGTCCTAAGCACCTTGAAAAATTTTGGTGATGACATTTTTTAGTAGAATATCCTATTGCTTATAAAAGTGCTCTGAGATTTTTTTCTTAAGTCACTAGTATTCATTCTGCAATTTTTATGCTAGTGCTTTCTTGATCTTATCAGAAGATATTAACAGAAGAACAAGTAAGACTCATTTATCTTCAAATGACTTTTTGAGAGTTCTGTAAGAGGCTACAATTATCCAATCATGTCAACAAGACTTAACAACCAACCCTACACATGCCCAGACAGTGGCAGTACACCTTGACTCCTGTTGTGCTGACAGTAGCTGTAAGACGCTATTGATTACATATGAATAGTCATTTAAAAGATGTCAATATATGAAAACAGGTGTATTTTAGAAATGAAGAAATGTGTACCATGTAATTTGAGAGAAAGTTTGTACTTTCCAGAACTTCTCATAAAGTTGTTCACCATTTCAGAAAATTTCACAACCCAAAGCATTGCTGCTTATGTCTCCAGCCCAATACACCTATATCAGGTTGCATCAGTAACTTTATATACTGGTGACTCCACAGGTATAACAATCTAAGTACTTAATCATGTCTTAAAGTATATGCATGCCAAAGCATTTACATACTGAAATAGATATTCTAAAAATTACTTTCTTTTTATTTCTCTTTTAAATTACAACTAAGATCTTACATTAATTTTTTAAAAGTTATGTCAGATGGTGTACTATTTAAATTTCAGAAAGAAAAAGGGAGTTATAAAATACTTGTTTTAAAAAAGAATCCTATGAGATGAAAACTATTAAGGCATTGAAACAAAGGATAACAAATTCTTTTTCCTCTTTTTAGTAACTACTTCCCTAACAATTGTCACTAATTCTGTGGATAGAGGAAGTGAGGATGCTGTAGACTGAATGTTGTTTGTATTCTCCCCCAAATTCACACTGAAACTGAATCCCCAATGTAAGGATACTTGGAGGTGGGGTCCTTGAAGAAATTCATGCCCTTAGAAAAGAAGCCCCAGGTTAGGAACCTACTAGATTAGTCCCATTATAAAAGAGGCCTCAGATCCCTCTATGTCAGGACACAACAAAAAGACTGCCATCTTTGAGTCAGGAAGCAAGTCCTCTGCTGGCACTTTGATCTTAGACTTCCTAGCCTCTAGAATAGTGAGAAATACATTTCTGTTGTTAATAAGTCACCAAGTCTATGGTGTTTTATTATAGCAGCCTGAACTGGTAACACAGGGGGATAGGAAGATGAGGAAGATTTAACATTAAATAGGAATGGTTATTTGGTCTTATTTTTAAGAAAGTGCCTTCTCAAGTTTTATGTTGTGTGGGTTTACAGAATAGTATAATTAATGAGGACACAGGCTCCTAAATCAGATTACCTGGGTTCAGACTGTGGCTTCACTATTTGCTGTATGATTTTAATGAAATCAATTTGTCTTACTTCACTTCCTTCTGAAGCAAAGTGGAGGTCATAATATCACCTCACAGGGTTATTGTGAGAATTAAATGAGGCAACATACATTTAAGTACGTAAAACTGTCTGCTATACAGAGCATCAAATAAGTATACGTTATAATGAATATGTATAACCAGAAACTAAGTGCTCTGAAAAATAAACTTGCTGTTCAACTGTTCAACTGTTAAACATTTTTTTTTTAACCACAGACAGCTAATTTTATTATCTCTATTTTGCTGGTGGGGAAAATAAACAAGGTGAGGGTGCCATCCAATTCTTAAAAAAAGAATAATGGGGCATATTTCAAAAATTTCTAATATTTACTATATACTCTAGTAAAGTCGTTCCTATTTGATTCTATTTCTGTTTGGATTTCTGTTAAACCTCTTATCTCCTGGCAAATAAAAATTTCTTCATAAATGTTCATGGCATTTTCTATAGCTATTTTTTTTCTATAAAATCATGAAGTTACTAGTATGTCTTTTTTTGTAGAGTCAGTTTTATTGCCATTTGCCAACAGGAAAGGTTCTATTGTATAATAATGGCTGATATTCTTTTTTATCTTTTATTTTTGGGACCAGGGACTGAACCCAAGGGCACTGAACCACTGAGCCACATCTCCAGCCTTTTTTATGTAGAGCTCGGGTGTCGCTAAGTTGCTTAGGGCCTCATTAAGTTGCTGAGGCTGACTTTGAACTTTCAGGTCTCCTGCCTCAGCCTCCCTAGCAGCTAGGCATGCACCACCAAACCCAGCTAATGTCCGATATCCTAATGTGCCAGAAATTGTAAAGTATGACTCATAGCTACAATGCATATCTACCATACTCAAAATATAATTCTACCAGCAGAATTATATTATGCATTTTAGTAAAACCTTTTAAATTTTTCATATAAATTAAAATTTTTACTGAAGTCATCAGGTTTTATTAAAATATTCTATGAGAGAATGACTTTCATGAAACAACCAAGAAAATCAAAAAGTAAACGGTAGATGGCAGAGGTCATAAGAACTATAGAAATTTTGAGGACTATAAAAATCCTTGTTTATGAAATTCAATGCATTTAGAATGCTTACTACAATCTTCATGGACTGTTTTTTGGTACTGGGGATTGAGCCCAGGGGTGCTTTACCACTGAACCACATCCCCAGCCTTTTTCTAAATTTTAATTTTGAGACAGGGTTTTGCTAAGTTGCTGAGGGCCTCATTAAGTTGCTGAGGTTGGGGAACTTACAGTTCTCCTGCCTTAGCCTTGGAGTCTCTGGATTATAGGCATGCCTCACTGTGCCTGGCTCATGGACTGTTTTTTTAAAGAAGGGACAGGCTATTAGGAGTGGAAGATGATTCAGGTGACAGGAATAATCAAAGGTGGAGAGAGGGATATTTCCAGTAGAAGAGAAATCTTTAAAAAAAAAATTGGTATACACAAAAATAGAAAAAGTTTTAATTTTATAATGTTCTATAAAGTTCTATAATAGTTCTTTCAGCATTTGCTGCTTTTTTGCATCTTGGCTCAGATTATAATGAAAGAGTTACTCCTTCAACAGTGCAAAGATTCTTTAGGAGAAGAAACAAAGCAGAGCAGTGTCAAAGAATAACTCAATTATAGAACACTGTCAACTTGTTTACAGAGAACATAAATCAATAGATGGGTTTTAACCCACTAAAACAAAAATGAGAATTTATTAAGAGAAACAGCACTTCAGGGAGAGAAAAATAATTGCTTTCTGTTGAGTGAATCTTGTTCGTATTTTTTAAAGTAAGATAACTTATTTGTTGGCAGTCAGCAAAGAGGTTAATCTGGACTCACTGTCCTTGAATAGGGTGACTAGGGATAAAACAAACAAAAAAACCTGACAATCTGTTTCTCTGTATTGTCTGCCTTCTATCACTACCTCATTCTTAGTTGAATCAGTTCTACACTACTCCCTCACTAAAAGTCTTAGAATACATGCTGTTTTTCTTTAAATTCTTTTCCTCTAGATTCTGAGTCCTCATTTGAATATGATCATTCTGGGTTGCTCAAGAAGAAATTTCTGTTGCAAAGAGCTGTCATTGTTTGTCTAATATGAATTTAAGAAAGATCTTAAGTTTCCCTTTGGTCTTACCTTTTCTAAAGATTAAACCAGTGTTCTCACATTCAAACAAACTAATAGACAATAGTGGTACCAAATGAATTCTCAGCTGACTTGGATAGATAATAACTAACTTTTCTTACTTTTTTTTTAACCACAGACAGCTAATTTTATTATCTCTATTTTGCTGGTGGGGAAAATAAGCAAGGTGAGGGTGCCATTCAGTTCTTAAACTCTGAAGAAAGCAATTAATTTGAATACCTAAAAGACTGCACATATTTTATCCAGTTAAAACGGAAGCAAAGAAAGCAAACCAAAACAACAAAAATGCAGAGTAGAGGAATTAATCATGCAGAAATGCTAAATCAAGACCTATGTCATTTTTTTGAAAGAGAAAAAAAGTTTCATTTTTATTATTCTAAGGTGATTGGGAAAGAAAAATACAACATTAAGATATTATCTATGAGGAATAACACAGAGATTCAAAAAGGCCTTTTCAAAAGTGGAACAAGACAAGGATGTCCTCTTTCACCATATAGTTCTTGCAACTCTAGCCAGAGTGATTAGACAGATGAAAGGAATTAAAGGGATACGGATAGGAAAAAAAAACACTATTACTATCTGCTGACAGCATGATTCTATACCAAGAGGATCCAAAAAATTCAACCAGAAAAATTCTAGAACTAAAAAATGAATTCAGCAAAGTAGAAGGATATAAAATCAACACCCATAAATCAAAGGCATTTCTGTACATCAGTGACAAGAAAGAGAAACTAGGAAAACCACCCTATTTACAATAGCCTCAAAAAAGAAAGAAAGAAAGAAAGAAATACTTGGGAATCAACGAAAGAGGTGAAAGACCTCTACAATGAAAACTACAGAACACAAAAGAAAGAAAGAAAATCTTAGAAGATGGAAAGATTTCCCTTGTTCTTGGATAGGCAGAATTAATATTGTCAAAATGACTATACTGTGAAAAGCACTATACAGATTTAATGCAATCCCAATCAAAATCCCAATGACATTCCTCATAGAAATAGAAAAAGCAATCATGAAATTCATCTGGAAAAATAAGAGACCTAGAATAGCCAAAGCCATCCTTAGCAAGAAGAGTGAAGCAGGTGGTATCCCTATACCAGACCTTAACTTTTCTTACTTTTTAAACAAATATTTTAAAAAGACAGTAGATTAGGTGCCTGCAAATAGCTGACAGTTGCTTCTGTGCTGCAGTGAATTACAACAGTCAATTTGGGCAGATACATGTGGGCTTCATGCCCACAGGCATTATGAAGCAGAAATGACTTTGAGATTATAACCTGGAGAAAAGCATAATACACATCATTTTAGAAGTTAAAATCCACTGACATAGTATTTCTAATTTGTGCAAGTCCTGTGTATAGTCACCTCTAAGTAAGGGGGAAAAAATACTTTGCTACTCCTATTAAGAGGAAGTACTGTCCATTAGTTTCATTGACATTGGCCAAACTATAAAAACTATAAAATCCGAAATGAAGTAATCCTTTACGATGTCTTTTTAGGATGAAAGATGTCTCCCTTTTAGCTGCTTCTAGTTTTAAAAAATCACAGCCTAGCAACATTTCCCTTCTCTTTAAAAATCAAAATCTGTTCATCTCAATTCTTTACTAATAGCCACGAATTTGTACCTTAAAGGAAGGCCTATGATTTGATGAATCCCCTTTCCTAATCACTCCCTATGAGTCTGAATACACAGTAACTAACCGTTCTTACGTTTTAATAAATACTTGAAGGTAGGTTCCTTAGAAATTCATTCAGAGACCTAGATGACCATATCAACAAAATTCGTACATGCTTGAGTTTGGTTTGCATCCATTTACGTACGTCAAATTTCTTTTCCAGACTGATTAAATTCATAACGTTTTGTAACAAGCAGACAAAGGAATATGTTTGATTGATAAGCATAATCATCCGGGCAGTGAGTTCTCGCGTGATGGTTAATGACGTCACCGGTTGCCATGGCAGCACCCGCCCCAAGGAAAAGGGGTGGTGCTAAGGAGCTGACTGCGGCGGAGCGCAGCTTCTGCAGAGGACAAGGAACGCCCTTTTGCAGGTCTGACTTCCACCACAATGAGCGGCCAGGAGGTGGGCGACAAGCTCTCTCTCGCCGAAACCGCCTCTCCGGACCAGGCCCCAGGAGATCTGCCCCTAAATCAGTGCGAGGGGCTCCGCGAGGAAGCCGAGGCGGCACAGGAGATGGCGGACACAGGTGAGGGCAATTTGGAGGCCACTGCGGAGGGAGGTGCACCCCGGGATTCCGTGGACTGTAGCCCCGCACTCTGCGTCCGAGTTGCCGGGAGCCTCAGCCTTGCAGCCACCGGAGGGGGAGTCGATGATGCTGTGCCTCCTTCGAAGGGCTCTGAAGCAGCCTCGGTCTCTGTCGGAGCCGACAAGAGCCAGAAAAATGGCTGTCAGCTTGGAGAGCCGCATAGCCCTGCGGGGCAGAAGGCTCTGGAAGGCTGTGGCGCAGGGGCCTGGGGGTCTCAGGTGAAACCTGGGGCGAAAGCCAAGGAAGTGACGATTAAGAAGTGCGCCATCGCGGCAGCAGCAGAAAAAGAGGGAGTAGCAGAGGCGGTGATGGAGGAAAAGAAGGTGGTGCAGAAGGAAAAAAAGGCAGCTGGTGGAGGGAAAGAAGAGGCCCGGCCTAGGGCCCCGAAAATCAATAATTGCATGGACTCGCTGGAGGCCATCGATCAAGAGCTGTCAAACGTAAATGCCCAGGCCGACAGGGCCTTCCTCCAGCTGGAGCGCAAATTTGGCCGAATGAGAAGGCTCCATATGCAGCGCAGGAGTTTCATTATCCAAAATATTCCAGGTTTCTGGGTCACCGCCTTTCGGAACCACCCTCAGCTGTCACCTATGATCAGTGGTCAAGACGAAGATATAATGAGGTACATGATCAATTTGGAGGTGGAGGAACTTAAACACCCCAGGGCAGGTTGCAAATTCAAGTTCATCTTTCAGAGCAACCCATACTTCCGAAATGAGGGGCTAGTCAAGGAGTATGAGCGCAGATCCTCCGGCCGAGTGGTGTCTCTTTCCACTCCAATCCGCTGGCACCGAGGTCAAGACCCCCAGGCCCATATCCACAGGAACCGGGAAGGGAACACCATCCCGAGTTTCTTCAACTGGTTCTCAGACCACAGCCTTCTAGAATTTGATAGAATTGCTGAGATTATCAAAGGGGAATTGTGGTCCAATCCCCTACAATACTACCTGATGGGAGAAGGTCCCCGAAGAGGAATTCGAGGTCCACCACGACAGCCTGTGGAGAGCCCCAGGTCTTTCAGGTTCCAGTCTGGCTAATTTCTGCCCTCGAGAAGCTCCTGCACAAGTCTCCTTACCATCGTCTATTCTTGGCCAGCAGCATGCAGCCTTCTTTCTGCTTTTTCAGTGTACTGAATTAGTTTGTCCTTCAGTTCTAAGGTTTCAACAGTCAATTTCAAGATGGCCCCTTACATACCTATGCTATTCTTCTTCTGGCCCTTCAAGCTGTTCTGCATTGTGTGAACATATTCCATGTGCATGGCCTTCTACTGCTTCTATGCTACACTAGTGATGTTGTAGATACGTACTGCCTTCTTTGCATGGCTTGGGTCCTGTCTGTGACTATGGTCTTCTCCCAGGTCTTTTAGTCGTTCTCTACCACAAGGAAGCTTGACACTTCTTTACAAATAACTAAGTACACTTTATGCTTGTTGTGCTTCTAATATCCATGTACTATGTGTTCTTGAGTTTCACCCCTGCAAGATGAAACTGAAATCCCAACTCAGCCATCAACCCAAACTGGACATTCTGGGCTACCACTTACTCGATGCCAGCTGCTTTCTGGGCCTTCTCCGTCTAGTCTTCTGGTGGAACAAGCAGGTGGCTCATGGGTAACTGCTAGACACAAATGAAGTAGCCCAACAAGAATGGGTTTTTTGTACTTTTGGTTATTGTGCATCGCAATCGGCTACTGGTGAGTATGAAGGCCTGTGCTGTAGCCCACCAACACTACTTCCTCCCTGCTGGTGGAGCTCTGCACAGGCCACCACTGCCTCGACAGAACTATCTATGGACCTAAGCCCCTAAACAACACACAGGAACCCCCATATCTACTGTGATTACCCATAAACCCAATTACTTGTAAGGCAAGTTGAGTAGTGATAATGCAGTGCCCAAAGCAAGGTGGAATGGTCCCTTTTAGTAGCCTTTCAGGGCCCTAGCCAACAAACCACCCTTAATACAGGTGATTTTGTTTGGCTACCCCTCTTTCCCCCTTCCATACCTCCTCTGGACATGATGGAGTTGCCAGGGTGAGGGCACTAATAGATTTTTCTGGAATGTGGGTCTTATTATGCCTCTCATTCTTCCCCTATCTTTTTCTCCTCCTTCCTTCTCTGGAGCAGTTACTGCTGAGAGACAGAAAACAAACTGGCAAAGTAGGTTTTTGGCTGTTTCCAGAAAGAGATTTGTAAATTAGACTTCAGATCTCTGCCCTTATTTCTTCACCCCACTTTTAGCAAGGTCACATAGGGACCTGTAGGGTAACTGCTTATTTGGGCATTGTGTTCTCTAATCGTGGTATCCCCACCCTTTTTCTCCTATCCTGCCTAATTCTGTGAATTTCTTGAGCTTTAATTTGAGAAGCTGGAAGGAGAAAAGGGCCTCAGTGATGTGTTGAAGGCAGACCCTGTACAACTAGAATTTGCTTTACTTCACTTTTCTAAAGATGACAATTTTGGGGGACTTGGACTGTTTAAGAAATGATTTGAAAATAGCATTTTGTGAGTCACTCTGCCTTTACTGCTGTGATATTCCATAGGCTCCATTCTACAGCCTGGTCCTCTGGGTCCTTACTTCTTAGTTTCAGCATTTCTTTCCCTGCTTTGTCCTTCCAAATGAGGGAGTAGGCTGCAGTCTGCATTGTGGGAATAAGGTGGAGTCTGCGTTTCCAGGACAAGTTCCAGCACAGTGATGCTGTAGGGCTGTCTCAGTTGTGGGGGTATATGGTGCTGGTGAAGACCATTGGCCTTCACCCTTTTCCTTTGTTTTGAAGTCCTTTCCCTAAGCTCCTGAGGGCTAAGGAGTCTGACACAATCAGTGGAGAGGGTGCTGCAGGCTGGGAAACTTAACTAAAGGCCCAGAAGCAGAAATAAGCCTGATGTATAGTGAGTTTCTCAAGGCCCACAGTAAAGATCCCTGCAGGATCAGGGGTGGAAGGCGAGGCCTGAGGCAGTTCCTAGGGTAGAGGTGAGAGAATCAAAGCATTTGGGGTTTAATTAGGATGCTTGGAGAAGGGCTTTCCTCCAATTTTTCCTAACTCCTTAAATTCACCAATAGATTTTTGTAAACAAAAATACAAGTCTGGGTGTTTTCTCTCTATTATTTTAGGAGTAACCTTTATATATGTGGGAGATTAATGGTATATGTTCCTTATCTCACTGTGTTGAATAACATCCTATTAATTCCTTTCTCCATTTCAGCCTATTGGCAAAATTGATGTTTACAGGCCTGCTTTTTTGCTTGTAATTGAGGACATGTGCAAAAATATCAAAATTTGTGTCCTGTGCAGTATGAAGACGTCTGTGAATATTCATTAATAGATTAGCTTGTTATGGTCTTTCTTCTATATAGTTCTATTCTTAGACATATAATTTGAATAATGTGATCGTTGAAGAATCTGAAGATTTTGAAGATTGTTGCTGTCTTGTGAAAGTAATCTCAAAAAAGCATAACTGTTGTCTTACTTGATATTTCTTGCCCTAATAATAATGTACTTGACCTTATGTTCCTAACCAGTATAACTACTAGCAGAACTGCTGTCAAACTAAATAAGGATTATTAGTACTTTTGTCTTCTCTGTGCTTGAAAGAAAAGTAAAATGTCACTGTTATATTTCTTGTTGTCATCAAAAAATAAAAATAAATAAAAAGTTGTGTGTTGTCTAGTTTAATAAAAGGTTGGGAAACCATTAAAGTTATCAAATGGTCACAGGGAAATTATGAAGTGTGTCACTAACTTCTCACAGGGCAATATGGCTTAAGCAGATGAAAATAATAATACTTCTTTGACGACCAGAGGATGAGACAATCTCTTAACTGGTTTGGAGGTCTACAGAAGGAATAAGACGACGACGATGTTAAGAAATGGAACTGGGCTTCTAGAGTTAACCAAACTGGTAAGTGAAACCTATATGATGCCTGAGTCTAATTTAATGACTAGTTATAATAAACTAAACAGCAACCACATTAATCTGTAACAAATGAGTGGCACCAGCCTGTAGAAGAATGACACTATTGGTAAAGCTAAAGCTGATAATCAACCAAGGGCAAGAAAAATGACATTTTCTGATTATGTCCAGCACAGGAATGGAAAAGATGGTTGAATTCGCAAAAGAAATCTAGCTCTCTTAAAACCTCCAGGCCTAGAAAAAATTACACCTCAGCAAGTGGAACTTAAGTTTAAGAACTGAATCAAGAAGCAGCAACCCAGGCTGGGGTTGTGGCTCAGTGGTAGAGAGCTTGTGTAGCACATGTGAGGCACTGGGTTCGATCCTCAGCACCACATAAATAAACAAAAGTTCTAAAAATTAAAAAAAAAAAAAAAAAAGGCAGCAAACACTGATTATATATTTAATTAAGTTCTAACTCAAATTTTGGGCCGTTTATGTCAACTTTTTGCTTATATGCCTAAGTATACCTGGTTATTAATTTTCACAGACCTTGCAGCATCCATAACCCTCCCTGTTACACAGGATGCAGAAGTACTTATTCTCTAAACCTTTACGAACCAGTGGCTGGACAGCACACTATATCAGTACTAGTAACTGAAGTGTGATATCTGCTTTCATGTGTTTCTCAATATATTTCAGTCATATTTAGGATATTCTTTTTGACATACCACACACTGTATGAAAAAAATTTAAGTGCTACTCACAAAATCCAAAGTCATTAATTCTTCCAAAACTACATTAAGCTCCTTGGGAATTACACCAAGGAGGGCGTAGTTAACATAAATGTGGTAAACAAGGATGGTACATAATAGTTTTCCACTGGAAACAATATGTTCAGTGATAAAAACCAATGTAGGTGCTTCCATTGCCACCCAAAACTGCACCGATTGTATTGGGACAAATTTCCTTCCTTATTTCATATAATTTTATTAAAGGATAAAAAACTTTTCCAATATTCTTTTTACTTTTTTATGGTGTCACTTTTGGATGATATTTACTCTTCATACTCAATTAGAAACACTGGCACTTTTTATAACAATGCAGGAAAAATGTAAAAAGCCTAATACAGTCTAACAAACATCCATTAGAGTCATCACTGACATGCTAAAAAAGGTAGAAGGAAACTTAGAAGGCCCAGTCCCTGCCACTCCTCAGTGGCCAGGAAAGTACAGTTAATTTTTTAGGGGGTGGGGGCTCTCATTTTTCTTATTAATAGCAGTTCATAAGCATTTAAAGATGTATTCTTTGCCATTTACAGAATAAACATGCATAAGGAAAAATACTTTATTAAAAAATCAGATCTCTATAGCATACACGAGTTAGCATCTTCATTTAGCCCTAAGCTTGATTGTATATGCACATTGTAATATTTCAATGACATTCTGGATAACAATTTCAAATACATCACCATATACTTATTGGTAGATATCAAACAAAGCTACTGACTTTGAGGGGAAAAAAAAAAAAGTTTCTTACCCTGAGATAATCATTCCCACAGTGTATTTGAGATTTCTCAAATATTTACAAATTTTAACAAAATATCTCTTCACTGCATGTGTCCATGCTAAGTTCTCTGCTATAATACAAGTAAAATAATATTAATGACCAGTATTGTTTTCTGGTCCTGTCCATGATGAATAGTGAAATTATAGCATAAAAAGTAGTTAGGAATTTACTATAAACATTATCTGGCTCCAAATGTCTTATAACAAATAGCTACTAATATGACTAAGCACAACATATCCTGGATTGTAATAAACCTATAAACCCCTTAAAATAGTGTTTCTCAACATTTTCTTCATCACCCTCCCTCTCAAAGAAAAAAACTACATTTACCTAATAAGAAAATTCAATGCCAAGGAATAAAAATGAATTTTCTTGGTATTTTTGAATTTAAAAGGCCAGAATCTACTGTTACTGAAGATTGTTTTGTACCCTAGAATCAATTTTTAATCCTATTGAGAAACATGTCTTAAAGTTATTGATAATGAATTAAACAGTCCTTAATATTAATATTAATTCCTAATAGGGGGAAACAGTGGGTAACAATGAAGGTTGGGATTGGCTTCTAGTACCATCTCTGTCCCATGATGGTTGTGTGATATCAGAAGAAATCATGTATGTATTTTCTTATTTTGGAAAAAAACAGGAATACTATCAAACCTAATAGTTTGGGAAAATCATTTAATGTCACTGGGCTCAATGTTCTTGGCTCTAAATTGAAGGAATTGGTATAGACTGGTTATTTGCAGTTCTGTTGTACTTACTAATAAAGACATTATAAACGATATCAATGCTCAGCTATTTACCCAGACAAATTAAACTAAACTCTGGAGTAAATGGTCATTGGTTCTCAAACTAGTGTCAATCAAAATCACCTGAAAGGCTTGTTAAGAAAACACACTGGTGGGCCTACCTCCCACAGTTTCTGATTCAGTAGGTTTGGGGATAGGGCCTTCAAATTGGAATAATCAAGTTCTAGGTGATGCTGCTATGCATCCCTGGACACACACTTGAGAACCACCAGACTAGGCATATGTATAAACTGTGTGGGTCTCCCCAGCTGAATTATAATTTCAAAGCTATTGGTATAGAAAATACTAATAATGTTCTTTTTAGTTCTAGGATACTGGGATTTTAATATTCCAAGAGTTGTTAAGCATCAAAATGATTTATATAAAAAGCAGATCTATGGACAAATATCAATTTCTTGGTCAATTTTCATTAAAAATTTGTTCATATAAAGCATTTTACAGTATTTCTTTGAAAATTAATATTTTTTACAGTACATTTGCTGCATATGTGGTTCTTCATTTTTTAGTAGAGATAATTTATCTTGTTGTCCATATCTCATCATTCAATAAGACCATTGGTATAATTGACCAATGGATAGTAGCCAGCTGTTTTTGAACTGTTTGAAGAGAATCTTGTAAATTTGTAGTCCAGAGGTAATTCTAAGAGGGAGAAAAAACAAAAAACAATTTGATTATTCTGCAGGTCTCTAACCACCTTTCAAAAATACAAATAAATAAAAAAGAGATATTCAGTTTTATTTTTTAGAGTTTCATAATTTTAATGTTTCTTTTACCATGTGGACAGGTGTCACCAGGATGAGTGTGAATGTCTTTCCTTAATACTTAAGTCAAATCACATTTAGCCATACTGCAAATCATTCTCAGAGCTCTAATAACTAGTGAGTTCAGTTTTAGTACTCTACACAATAAATAGGTATGCTCATCTGAATTTAAAAAAAGAATTAAATCTCCCTGGTCCTATTCAGCAAATCTCATAAATGGTAAATGTGAACTAATAATCTTCACAGCCTCAGGGAATACTAAGAGGGTTACTAAGATTAATCTTTGAATGTTCAGCAAAATAAGAATTCTAATATACATAATATGGTAACTTTCTGTATGTGATAAGCATTGCACATACACAGGACCTGGAGGGGAATTAAGATAGATACCATATAATATATGCTTGATTTTAGAAAATATGATATCCTCATCTATGTCTCAAAAATTTAAAACAATCCTCAGATACTACCCCTACCCCCCAACTTCTCAAAGGGACCATTAAAAAGAAATATTTCAAGTGAAGCATAACAGCATATATCACATTATGATACTCATTCCACACCCAAATATATGACAGTAGCCCAGTGCAGTAGCATACGCCTATAATCCCAGAGGCTCAGGAAGCTGAGGCAGGAGGATTGTGAGTTCAAAGCCACCCGTAGCAACTTAGCGAGGCCCTAAGCAACTTAGTGAGACCCTGCCTCTAAATTAAACATTAAAAGGGCTGTGAATGTGGCTCAGTGGTGAAGTGTGCCTGGGTTCAACCCCCACTACCAAGGGAAAAAATATATATATATTGTCATGTGTGTGTGTGTGTGTGTGTATATATATATATATATATATATATATATATATATATATATATTTATAACAATAATCCTTATTTCACAAATTTTACAAGTAGAACCAAAGTACTAAATATTTTGAAATTATACTTTTAGATGCCACTGAAAACCATCAAAACTCAGTCAATCTATGAAATGAAAACTAGTGCTAGAGAATAAGAAGAAACACTGCCTTCCTGATGTTAAAGAGAGCTAGGATTACTACAAACAGAAAAATATTAGACATTAGTAAATGTCATAGGTCCTCCCTATTCTGTTTGCCAGAGGAGTTTTGTTTGTCTGGTGGTGCTGAAGATTGAACTCGGGGCCTTGTACATGCTAGGCAAGTGTTGTTATCACTGGGCTACATCTCCAGCCCTAGCTGGAATACATTTTTAACCAGGCATTTAAAATTGCATCGAGTGGTAGGCAGTGGTGCAGGCCTGTAATCCCAGCAGCTTGGGAGGTTGAGGCAAAAGGATCACAAGTTTGATCTAACTAGTGAGTTCAATTTTAGTACTCTACACAATAAATAGAAATGCTTATCTGAATGAGCAACTTATTGAAGTCCTAAGCAACTTACCGAAACCCTGTCTCAAACAAACAAACAAACAAAAAAACAAATAAAAAAAACCAAATAAAAAAGGAAGGGCTGGGTAAAGCACCCCTGGGTTAAATCCCTGGTTCAAAATAAAATATAATAAAACAACTAAAATTTAAAAATAAATTAATTAATTAAAAAAATAAATGAAATTGCATTGAAAAGTAAATTCATGAATCTGTTTCTAAAATTGTACTCTGAGGTTCTGAATTTCTAATAAGCTACCAAATGACACAGGCTAAGAGCTGAGCCAACCATCTCTTTTTTCCCCTTTTTATATAGTTCTAAAGTATAAGAAATATACTTTCTTTCCCAGGAATTTTGTGCCATCAAGTGTTGGTTGCCTCTTTACCTCTCCACTGACTTTACTCTGATATTTATATTTTGTCCAGCTTTTCTAGTTGTATTATCCCAAGTGAGAAATAGAAGTCTAAGTAATTTCTGAACTTCAGATTCTTAAGTTGTAGATGATAATACCAGACTTCATTTCTTCTCTCACATTATGAATGTGAAAGTATAACAATATACTTACCTGAATTACTGGTAGAATTATGATAGGTTAAAAATGATTACCTTATAAACCAATCACCACTGTAACATATCTGGCTAAGTACAAAATTTTTATAACAGTTATAAAAATGGCTTCTGGGTATTTAAATTTGAATGAGATAACCAAGTCTAAAGATATCAGCTTTTTTTCTTTTTTTTATACTGGGGATTGAACTAGGGGCACTCAACCACTGAACCATATCCCTAGCCTTATTTTTGTATTTTATTTAGAGACAGGGTCTCACTGAGTTGCTTAGTGCCTCCCTGTTGCTGAGGCTGGCTTTAAACCCATGATCCTCCTGCCTCCTGAGCCACTGGGATTGTAGGTGTGTACCACTGCGCTGGGCCTAAAGATACCAGTTTTTACAGGGGGAAATAAAAAGAGGAGTAAGAGGTTTATTTTTCACCTATCTCATTCAAAACAGAGAACTTTATTGTCTCCTGGTACAGAAATGTTTGTTATTATGAAGAACTCAGGGAACGGAATATAGCCAAACTGTGTCAGATAACTATTTTGTTAAAACAAGTATTCCTAGACTAGGAATTCATTAGACTATGGATTCTCCAAGAAGAAAACATTTGTGTCCCTTACAGGGAAGTCACGGTTGGGTGCTATTTTTTTTTTTTTATATTGAGTTTTGAAAGCAGACAAAGAATCAAATTCTTGCTCACCACAACAGTATTCTGTTAAAACTCTGTACTAAGTATACTGTAATTATCAAGTATATTATCCAAACTTAGGTAACAATTAAATGAAGCAAATGTTCTTCCACAGTAAATTCAATATTAAATAACAGAGACAGAACAACTCTTGGGACTTTTTAAAAAAGAGACTGGCAGGATAACATTTATATAAATACTCTAACATGTTTAAAGCCATTCTAGCCATCTTTTTTAGTTGGAGGCAAATTATGCAGTAATATCGAGTGACACTAAATCTGTTTCTGCAATAATATGAAGTTTTGAGATATAACTTCTTCACAAAAATGTGATCACAGAAAAAAAATGTGAACTTTGATGAATTCTTTGTTTTTTGAGAATTGTCTTGAGCATCAAAGTAAACAACTGAATATGACATAACCTCACGCATCCTTTCCCTAAAAAAGGGAGGGGGGCACTGGTTTACCTTTGACTATTGCCATGTCCTAACGTCCTACTTATTAATATTTCTTCCTAAAAAAAGGTGGACAGAAGACAAAGGCCCTCCTCAAAGTTATACAGTCCATTTCTTTAACAGATTTTTTTTTTATAAAAGGGAGAATTATATTTAGGTTATCAAAAAAAATTCTTTAAAAAACAATGAGAAGATATTATTTAAAAGATGAGGATATACTGACATATTGAATACATATAATGACAGAAGATGGATCTTTAGAAAGTCCTATGTATTATGTATCATCATAATCCCACCAATAATTCAGGTAAGTATCTTGTTACACTTTCTTTCATACTCATCCTGTGAGGGAGAAAACACAGTTTGATATTATCAACTGCAATTAAAGAATCTGAAATTCAAAAATTAAGTTCTTAGACTTCCATTTTTCATTTGGGCTAAAACAAGTAGAAAAGCTGGACAAAATATAAACAGCAGAATAAAGTCAGTGGAGAGCTGAAGGCTCAACTTTTCATTTCTCTGGTTGTACACGATGTAGCGGCGTACCATATGTGCAGTCATACATGTACCTAGGGTAATGATGGCCATCTCATTTCACCATCTTTTCTGTCCCCAAGCCCCCTCCTTCCCTCCTCACCACTTTGCCCAATCAAAGTTCCTCCATAGAATTTCCATCTTTTTATAGTTTTAACATCTTTACCAAATTTCTCAATCCTTTCTTTTCTGTATTTGACCAAAGTACACATGGTTATTTCTGTTACTGTGGTCCCCTAACCTTGTGTACTTGGATATTTTTCATTAAGTGTTGAACATTATATGGACTGTTGGTAGAAATAATTTGAGTCCTAGAATAATACTATCTTTTTCAAAAGAGAATCTACATTTGTTTCTACCAGGTTATCAAGGGCATTAACTAATCTGTCATTTTGATATTCAGCTGATTTGAAGCTGAGCTTTAAGTCCCTTTGAAAATGGAAACTACTTCTGTATTCATCCTTATTCTAAGATAAAACCTACCAGGGTTTCAACACAGATTAAGGGAGTTCACCAGGCCCACTCTTCCTAGACCTCCTAAGGATGCTGTTGTGGTAATTCCTACATTTAATCTATTCCTGAAAGCTGACTTAAAAAGAAAAAATAAGTCCAATTTTTATGTAGTTGGCTGTAGCAGAAGGGCTGGTCCTAATTACCCAGGCTACTATATTTAAAAGATGTTTCCCAAGAAAAATAAATCAACATTGTGGGAAGATTTCCTTTTTTTAAAGGACAAGAATCCTGGTAGTTATTGTCATCACTATCCAATAACAGGTAAAGATTACCTGTTTCAAAAGGTATTTTCCCCCTTACCTGCTATTGCTTCAATACTTGGAATTGCAATAGTGCTGTAAGTATTGATTCTCTTAGAAGACCATGTATAAACCAAGGAGTCCTCTGAATTTTCCCGTTGTGAAACTGAATCAATAAAAAAGGAGCCCCATTTTTTAGAAAAGGTATTTAGAAGTTTTGTCTTTGGTACCTGAAAGAAGAGAATGGAATAATAAATGTGATTAGTAATGAAAACTATGGTAAATTAATCACATAGTTTTGTTTTTAAGCAAATTGAGAAAAAAAAATCCTGTAGGAATTATAAACAGGCTTTGGGTATGCATTACATTTTTGGAAAGAAATAGTACTTACTATAAAGCATCCTTTATCTCAAACTAGAATGATCTTTTTAAATAATTAGTTGATTATAGTATTAAACCTACCCCAAACAGAGCAATCTAGAAAGAATGTTTTCTCTACAATTAAAATAAATCTTTAATTATTATTGTTGTATCTAAAGGATAGTTAAAAATTTTCCTTTTTTTGGTTGGGGGTACCCAGGATTGAACTCAGGGGCACTCGACCACTGAGCCACATCCCCAGTCCTATTTTGTGTTTTATTTAGAGACAGGATCTGAGTTGCTTAGTGCCTCACTGTTGCTGAGGCTGGCTTTGAACTCCCGATCCTGCCTCAGTCTCCAGAGCCTCTGGGATTATAGGCATACACCACTGTGCTTGACTTAGTTAAAACATTTCTAATTTTTAAATTTGGTGTTTATTTTTTTAAAGGGGGATGAGGATAGAATTATTATTTACTGCTTCCAATGTACGTATAACATGAAACCAATAACTGAATAAAAAGTTTCAAGGTACTATCTTTTTTAAAAAAAGTATAGGGGATACTCAGTAATAAATTTTCTGTTTTTTTCTAGGGCTGACCATAGTCCTTTATCATAGAATTTCCAAAGGGTGATGGCCATATCCAGGTATAATTCTAAATAGTATTTATTTCTAACTTAAAAGCCAAAAAGCTATTCACCAAAATAAAGAATAAAAATTATTTTCATTTTAGTACAGAGTCATCAAACATAATGGAGTGCAACTTCAGAGAATAATACTGGTCTGTTATATTTTTCTAAATTAGCTCACAGTAATGTCTCAGATTATATTATTGTATCAGTAAATCAATGTAAAAATAGAAACTCAGTTTTATCTGTCCGATAGCTTTACATTGGTATCTCACCATTGTTTCAATTGTACATTAGGCATTACTAGTGAGCATGTTTGTCTCCTCTTATATACAAACTTTTCCCCTCAGTCAACAGCCTGATATCTTTTGTCCTATTTCACACTGAGTATCTGATTTTAGCCCATTGTCAAACCCCTTAGATATCAACCCATTGTTAGTTTTATCAGGTTGGATCATATTAAGGTGTAGTATTCACCTGTTTTAACATATAAAAATAGCAATTTCATAAGGTTCAATCTAAATAGATATTGCAAGACTCTTTCCCTTGAATTAGGTCCAAAGATCAACCGTATCCCAGGTGTCTTGAAGAGAACTATTTAATACTGATGCAAAGTCATCAGTTTTTCTACTTATTATTGTCCTTTGAGTTATAATTTGAAAAAAAAATATTTCCTACAATGAGGATGAAAAAAAATACTTTCAAAATTTTCTTCAATCAAGTTTTATAAATATATTTTTTATGTTCAGGTCTATAATTCCTTCAGAATTTATTTTTATATATAGGATGTAAAAGGAGATCATCTTATCTTTTTCCATATAATGAAACCACTTACTTAATCCTACTCTCTGAATTGTTCAACCTTTTCTGCTAATGGACAATGTTCTGCCATACCCACATTTATATGGGCCCGTGTCTTTTTTTATTCCTTCTATTCACTGAAATTTTTATATACAGGTTACATATTCCTTATCTGAAATGCATGGGATAAGAAGCATTTCAAATTTGGGAATATTGGCATAGACTTTACTGGTTAAGCATCCCACGTCTGAAAATCCAAAATTTTTTTAGTGTTATATTGGCATCAAAAAGTTTCAGATCTTTGGAACATTTCAGATATTTTGGATTAGAGATGCTTTCCCATTATGGTTTCAGTACGAGTTTTACCCCCAAAATGCTCATGTATGAGATAATGCAGGAAAATTTAGACATGAAATGACTAGGTTATATGAGGTTTAACCTAATTGTGCATGAATCCCCTGACAGGGATTAACTTGGTGACAACTATGGAGGCAGGTGGGGTATGGCTGGAGGAGGTGGTCATTGGGGTGGGCAGTGTGCCTTTGGGGTTTATATTTTGTTCTCAGTATGCTGAGCTCTCTCTCTGCTTTCTTAGCTGCTTTCCTCCACCACACTCTTCTGCCATGATGTTCCACCTCACTTTGGGCTCTGAGGAATGGAGTTGGCAGTCTATGGAGTAAGACCTCTGAACCATCAGTCCCAAAATAAACTTTTGATTATTTTTGTCAGGTCTTTTGGTTCACAGTGAAAACATTGTCTAAAAAAATGTTCCATACTCTGTTTCCAGTACTAGATAAAAAACAAAACAAAACAAAACAAAAAAACACAACAATCTGGTTTTCTACTATGGTTAGCATCTGATGGAGTAAAATTCAAATCTTTTATTTATTTTTTTCAAAGTTGTCTGAGCCATTTATGGGTTTTAAGTTTTCTAAATGCAAAATCAGTTTGTGAAGATCCATTTAAAATCCTCCTGGGATTTTGTAAAACATTAGATTGACTTTATAAATAAATGTGAGGAAAACAGTCATCTATAAAAATCATGCTTTTGCAAATATGTCTTTCCATTTATTTAGAACTGTATTCAAAATTTTTTTAAAATATTTTTTTTTAGTTGTAGATGGATGCAATATATTATTTATTTTTATGTGGTGCTGAGGATCAAACCCAGTGCCCCACATGTGTGAGGCAGGTGCTCTACCACTGAACTACAGCCCTAGCCCTTATATTCAGAATTTTTAATAGGCTTAAAATTTACATCACTAAGGTCTTATATATTTATTAGGTTAATTCCTAGACAGTGATTTATTTTTGTTGCTATTGTAAATAATCTGTTTCTTACCACATTTTGTTAAGTGATTCCTGCTGGTAAAGAATATGGCTGTTAGTTTTTGAATGCCAATTTGGATCTAGCATTCTGACCAAACTCACTCATTCGTTTTAATAGTTTGTTGATTTCTTCTATGCTAAGGATCACACAACCCTAAAAATACTGATAATTTTAATCTTATTCCATGTTTCTTTCTTCTTTTTTTTTTTTTTTCTTGTAGTATTGGCCAGTTCTCTGTTACGCAGTGTAACTGATAAACAGTATCCATAAAGAACCTTAAAGGGCAGTATGGCTTTGGCTTTTCCTTTTTTTTAATTCCACCATTACATGTTACATTCCCACTGGTGTTTTGGATGATATCCTTCTCTAATTAAGAATGGTCCCTTTTCTTTCTTGCTTGCTAATTATTTTCATCATTAATTTTGTCAGACACAGTGGTGCACAATTGCAATCCCAGCAACTTGGGCAGCAGAGGCAGGGGAATCACAACTTAGCAAGGCCTTAAGCAACTTAGCATGTTCAAAATAAACAATGATATAGCTCAGTGGTAAAGGACCTTAGAGTTCAACCCCTCACTTGTTTTTAGTTAAAATGAAGAAATAAGTAAGAACAGTACTGAAGGAAGTTGAAGAAGAAAGCTCCTCTTCCTTTGACATAGGAGGCTAGTTACACAGAGTTAAGGGTTTCCAAGTAATTATAAGTATAATGTTATAAGAATTGATTTATTGATTATTTGTTTCTAATGTTTAAACTAAAGAAAATTATTCCTTATTTTCTTTAGCTGGGCTTACTTAAACATTAAAATGTGCCATTTTGCTGTTTTAATTTGTTCTAAAATAGTGGAGGAAATAATCAACTGATGTACCATGATTTTAGAAAGTTTTGGGCAACAGTCCGTAAAATTCCATTTGAGATTTTTCCCAGTCCTTATCTTAAGCTTCCTGTCACAAATGAAGGGAGGTGAAAGTAATCCTCAAATTCTCTATGCTCTTATATAGAATGGAAACAACTACCAATGTCTGATAAATTGAATTCAAACGTAAAATGAAATAAAATGTTTATCTTTGCAGAATGTAGTACATGTAAATGTTTTGGTTTCCAGGATCAATTTTGAAATGATCTGGTTAATTTGATTTTAATTATATTTTTCAAACTTCACTTAGGTTGAATACAGTAATTAGAAACACAGAATTAAATCCTTTTGCATCAGACTTTGAACCTGTCAAAAGATAGCATCTTATATGTATCCTGTGCTTGACATTTGTTTGGAAAAACTAAACTACACTTTTCTTAACAATCACAAAATATACAGAACTCACACAGTGCTTTCTTTTTATCTTTCTTTATGGACTGTTTCCTTCCTGCTGCAGCGGTCAGCAAGATGTTTATATTCTGTCCCCTCCACAGGGAAGCAGGAAAGAATCTGAACTCTCATGAGGTGCAGTGCTTACTGCCTGTTTTGAAGTGCTGCTCTGGTCTTCTCCATGGAAGTGTGCTGTGCAGAGAACAGACCTGGACTTATATATATGTATTAAAGCAGCCTGACTTTTATAGGTTTGCGTCAAAAATGTTTGTTACAACAACAAAACAAAACCACGTAACTGTCTCATAAATACAAGTAGAAAGACACATGTCAAATTTTCCATGAAACAGGTAATACAACTAAATTTGCTTGAAAAATCTGCTAAGGACCATTAATACACACTGTTTCAAAAACAAACTACAGAAGCATGAGGACATTCAGTCAGACCAGGAGACCTGTGAAGTCAAGTAGTATAGGGATACTTTAGCTTTCAAATAAAATTTTTTTCTTTCAGGAAAAGAGTGAAAGGGATGCTTACCTCATATTTTCCTCTCTTCTCCAGAGGCTCTGACTCCTCAGGCTTCCAGGCTTCCTCTCCTTGGAGCTCCTCTAGAATGAGGACTGTCTCCCAGTTCCTATAGTGACGCGCTGGGAAAACATCTGAATGCATGCTGTCACCAAAGTAAACAACCTGTAAGTCAGACAGCAAATTCTGTTTGAGGCATGAGAACTGCGACAGTGGTCATCATTTCATGGAAGGCAGAAGAAGGGCAAAAGCATCTTACATTTCTTTGAATAACCTGGCAACTGACCACTGATGTGTACCATTGATTCACAGAGGACCAAGTTCATGTTAAGAAGTTATACAACCCACTTGCAGATAGAAAAAAGGTAGAAGGTGAGATGAATAATTTTATTCAGTTTTCCTACAGAAGACGTGAACCTATGTGTTTTGTATACATTTAAATCTGCCCTTAGAACTGAAGAGCTGGTGATATATTAAAGACAACTTGTCACAGTGGGTTGCAGATTGTGAAGGGTGCACATCACAACCACTCTTCAAGAGTTTCTGGGACCCACCCCAGATCTGCTGAAACAGAACACCTGAGAGTGTTGCTGGGCTTGAAATCTAGAAATCTCCATAGATATTCTAAAGCAAAAGTCCCATGGATCTAGTCCACACATTTCAATCTGCAGATGAGAAAATGAGGTTAAGGGATAAGACCTAGAACCTCTCAAATCAAGCTCCTTTGTCCATGGAACTCCTTAGGGGTCCTTGGGAGCTGCAGCAATGTGGGAGCCAATGGTGCAGGGTTCAGTTACCCAATTATCTCTTTTGCTCATGGAGCTACCGGTGAATATTTTTTAGAAGAGTACTCTGTTGTGAAAAATACACCAATGTTCAACATCCGCAATGTGATCAAGATATCAAAAGCAGTGGGTCTTTAGGATAATCTGTAGTATAATTTCAGTTTGGGTTTGTTTTACATATAAAACCTTTTTTTTGTTATCAGGATTATCATTCCTCAGGCATCCCATATATGAATCCCATGCACTCCCTTGATCTGTGGCTGCCTGCTTGGAAACCTTACTCTTCTCTGTCTCAGATAAAGACCAGGTCTATATCAACAAAGAAAAGGCTTATTGTATCAGCAGAGGTAAAAAGAGAGCTATGGCAGCTGACAGAGGGAGATGATTCCATAGATAATTAACCTGAATGCATTTACAATTGGGGTTTTAGTTTACAACTCTTTATATCTGCAAGAGGACATTAAGGTTCTGAATCAGAAAATACCTTGGGTTCAGGTTTGCCAGTCATTTTCTTCAGAAGTTCATAAAGGTGTACAGCGTTCCCTTGAGAGTACCAGCCAGGTTTATCCAGAGATGGCAACACCTCCTGTTCTTCATCATTCTCTGGAAATACAGTTTGTCCATCATATACTTTTTAATCAAGTGAGAGTATTCAGTCAGGCAGGCTGTACTCAGGGCATGGCCGTAGGTCTCATGTAACAAGGAACCACGTGGGGAAGGAGATTGCATTCTGTAAGCACTTAGTGGAAGCACTTCGTGGGCCTATATATTATTAATCCTCACTGTGATCCTCTGAGTTGGAGGAAATAAGGCTCAGGGAAGTTATTTCACCTAAGATTTTAAAGCTGGTAAGTGATTTATTCAGTGATGAGATAGATTTATGCTTGATATTATGCCCCTGCTTTTGCAAAATGGTTTATTAAGCAAACAACATAATAGAAACCATTAAGTCCTATCTTTTCGGAACTGGGTATGGGGAAATATATTTTTATTGTAGTCTATTCAATCTAGGTTTAAATTTTGCACTCTAGGTGCCTCTATTATTTTACCCTAGTCTCAGCTTGGGGTGGGGAAAGGAGTTGGTAAAAGGGTTATCTGACACCAAAGGACAAGTTTGTGGATAATTCCAAACTGTCCCCTTCCAGCACATAACTTGCTCCCCAGATCCAGTTAATGCAGGGCTGGTGAAAGTCTAAGAAGATTCAGTACATTCCTTAGAGAAATACTCCCCCAAAAGTGATAACTTCTCATAATGTCTTTGTTTAGAGCAGAAAGTCTTATTGTACTATGTAAATAATAAGGGTTTAAAAAATGAATAATTTACACACACACACACACACACACAAGGTGCTGGGGGTTGAACCCAGAGGTTGATGAATGCCATGTTAGTGCTTTACCAATGAGTTACACTCTTGGCCCTACATAAATAGTTTTGAAAGAAGATTTACATTTGACATGTAAATCTTCTTTACAATTAGATATATACACTAAGACATCACTTAGTTGCTAATATCTGTCAAATGATGTTTCTTTCCTTTTCCTTATTATTATTTTGCTTATTAAAAATGAAAAAAAAAACCCAAATTCTATAGACTACAGTTCCTCAAATGTTGGGACTCAGTAATCTAAGAAGCAAGAGAAAGAAAGAAAAAAAAAACTAAAAAGAAAAAAAAAAGAGAAACCAAAACAAAAACCCTCTTGATAAAACATCCACCCCTCCCTCTTTCCAAAAACTTCACTGAAAGCTACTTTTAAGGGTAATTAATCCGTGAGGGCAGCTTCAAAGATTCTGACAGAAGCTCCACACCTAGGAGCTCAGAAAATTAATTCCAGTAGAAGAGAGCCAGCCAGGCTGCTGAGAGCAACAGGGCTGAGATAGTTTAGAAAAATAAATTCAGGAGATGTCAAGCACAATTTCATTTATAAATCCAAATATTTTCACACTATTTAAACAAGGCATCACATTTCTTTTCAAGGCCTATAGGATGTAGTTATATGCACTTCTGTTTTCGTATCACAGAAAAAAAAAATGTGTCCTGCAAGAAGTACCAAGAGAATACTAATTTTTAAAAGCTTAATTAAAAATGTTAGATGATGGGCTGTGGCTGTGGCTCAGGGTAGGGCACTTGCCTGGCATGTGTGAGGCACTGGGTTCGATTCTCAGCATCACATATAAATAAAATAAAGGTCTATCAACAATTAAAATTTAAAAAAATGTTAGATGATAATAAATAGAATAGAAAAAAGTAAAAGAGGACACAGGGGACAGAGGGTGATTATGATTTGTTTCCTTGGTTTTAAAACTCGGATAATTCCAATGCTTAACTCCTAGAGGAGTTGTATAAATAAATTAATACAGATGAAGCACATGAAACAGTATTGGCCACACAGTATTTAAACATATCTTAAAAATCTCAGAACTTTTCTCCCATTGTAAACTTTCTGTTTTTTTTTTCTTATTTTTGCTTAAACAGTAAGAAATTTTTCAAGTAAAATACTCATTTGTATACGGACTATAACAGAAAAATGATACTACTAAAGAAAATAGTTTACTGATGAGTTGGAGCAAAGTTAATAACATAGAAAGCAAGATTCTTACCCTTCAAAACTTTGGGTTTGGGGGTTTCCTATTTGTTCATAATTTTTAAAATACTAATAGCTATGAGCTCCTTTGAGCTATGTATCTTTTCCTTCTGTTTCAATATGCTTATTTACCTGCTCATTTCTGGGCCTATTATAATAGGAAGTTAATTTCTTTACAGGACAAGAATTTTCAATTAGATATATACACTAAGACATCACTTAGTTGCTAATATCTGTCAGTGGTAGTATAGAGACCTGCAGACAGGGCTGTATTCAATGCCTATTTGTTTAGAAGCTGTGGCTTTGTCAAAATGCTAAACTTGGTACAAATTCAAGCAAATCAACAAATAAGCCATAGTCAAACATTCAGATTAACGAATGAATTCTTAACTGTACACTACGGATTGGGACTCTTTCATTCAGCAAGTTTTTAGTGTTACTGGCACTATGCTGGAGACACACAGCTGGCATTACCTGGCTCTCTACCACTAGGATTAATAATTTTCTGAGTCACATAGAATCCTAGCTAAGGAGGTTCTGTCAGAACCCTTGAAGCTGCCCTTGTGGATTAATTGTCCTTCAAGGTAGCTTCCAGTGCAAGTAGCTGGTGACAGGGAAGAGAGTGAACATTTGCATAAAGGGTTTTCTTTTGTTTGTTTTGGCTTTTCTTCTTCTTTTTCTTTCTTTCTTTTTTTTTGATTTGAAGATTACTGAGTCTCAACACTTCAGAAAATATAATTCTATAGATTTTGCTTTCTTTTCTTTTGAAATTAGGAAAAAAGAGCATGCTAGAAGGGAGGGGGATTCACTGTATGGTTATAAGTACTTTAGGTTTCATGGGACTTGCACTCTGGGGTGTGCAGAATATGGAGAACACAAGGCTTATGTTATGTAGGTCAAGGAAATGTGAAGCACAGCTGCCATCTTCAGGACTCACATCCCAGTGAGGAAATTCCCCAGATAACTTCCCCTTTATAACCAAGTGAAAGGCACCAACAAACACAGAGAGGAAATGACTGCCTGGAACCAGAGGAAGGAAGTACAGAAAGGAGGTTGTCGGTGCTTGCCTCCAAGCAGGGGTAGAAAGTCATCAGATAGAGGAGAGGGAGGAATTCCATATTTATCCTTGTTCTTCAAATAATATAGAAAGCGAGATTCTTAACTGATCTTCTGACCAGTAGCATCTGCCTTACTATAATATTTGTTTAGAAATGAGGAATTTTAGGTTTCATTAGGACCTACTGAATCAGAATCTCCATTCTAACAAAATCCCTGGGTGATTTATATATATATACTAAAATCTCAGCAACATTGACAGAGAACAGCAGGAGCAAAAACATGCTGAATAAAGAATAATAAAAGGTAATCATTCCAACAGGGGTGGAATAATGGGCACCTGTAGTGAAAAACAGACTGAGGAGGATGAAAAGAATTTAGCAAGGAGATTGCAGAATTAGTTTTAGGATGCTATACCGAATGGAAAGTTAATGAGATTCTGTGTGCACATGATTAAATATACTTTTTGCCTAACACTTATAAGTGAATTCCATAAAAGATACTGAAAAAGTAAAAAGTAAGTGACAAAGGCATGTCCATGCTAATAAAAGGTATTTGAAGAGAGGTGGGGAGGAGTTACAAGGCCCAGTGGAAAGAAAGAGGAGGGTAGAGATGAGAGATTTCAAAGGTAGATTAAACAGGTCTGAAGCCCAGCATACTGGATGTGAAAGAATAAAGATTTAACGGATGGTTAGGTGAGTATGATAAGGCACAAAGGTGACCAGTATGCCTGGCTGCATTTGGTTTCCAGATGAAAGGAGATTATCACAGTTGATTTCAGAACACTGAGTGGAGCTTTCTGATGTGCAGGAGAAAACACTGAGATTCAAGACAGGAAGTCTCAGCTAGGGAAAGATCGAGGTGGGGTGGGGGTGGGGGTTTGGAATGTGGATGACAGCTGAGGCCAAGGGACAGCACAGTGGCTCATGACTCCCACAATGGCGGGGAGTGGGGTGGCAGCCTTGGGGACAGGGCAGTGAACAAGACAGACACAATACCTTTCCCCAGTAGAAGTATAATCTTGCCAGGCAGAGATCCTCCCCTTACCCCAAACCTTAGTACTGGAGAGGGCAGAGGTCTCACAGTGCACGCAGCAGGGAACAGGGAGGGTCTTAAGGGTCGACAGGGATGTGGCTAATGGAGGATCTGAGTCTTCACCCGCCTGGCCACCAGCTCTTCCCTGGTCACCATGACAACCACTGATATTATGCATGTGGAGCTCATGAAGGACACGTTGTGCAAGGTGATTGGCTCACTGCACCTTATATCCCAGCATGCTTACCAGCCTGGATTTTATCCCTCTGACTTTAACCATTTGCAAGGACGGTTTAATTTACACACCACTGGAGTTTATAGCATTGGGCAGAGGAGACTTGCTTTCACAATAACTGCCACACAGATGGCTTCAGGGCTACAAGGCAGGATGGAGGCTGGGACTGATAACCCAGACATGATGTAATACTGTACCAATTCATACAGGCAGTGTTAGTGATGATAAACCTGAGAGGACAGAAAGGGGAGATGTGAAGGGGAAAGAGGAATTGGAAGATGACTCATTAAGATCTGTGGTTGGAAAAGTTACTAATGAAATCAGAAGAGCATGCTAAGAAGGGAGGGGGATTCAGTGTAAGGTTTTAAGTGCTTCAGCTTTCCTGCGACTTGAGCTCTGGGGTGTGGAGAATATAGAGGACAGAAGTAGGCATGTGCAGATCAGGGAAAAGTGAAGCAGAGAGGTAAGGAATTGAGAGTCATTAGTGAACAGATGATAGTTAAAACCATCTGAGTGGTAGAAAGCTAAAGTAACAACAGAAAAAAGGAGAGCCACACACAGAATGCTGGGAATAATTAACATTTAAAGAGAAAGGGAAGGGAAACCAGTAGTGTAAACCTAGATCAAGTAGTTAAGAGACAGGTGAGAATCAATCATCAGCAAAATAAACACCACAACCAAACATAATGAACTAGAAATTTTTTTTTTTTTTAATATAAGCAGCACCATCCTCTAATAATTGCTCTGGCAATCTTCTTTGTGCTCTAAAAGGGAAACAACTATTTTGTATTAAATCTAAATCCTATGTTTAATTATATCTTCCTTTTAAATATTTTAAATTGGAAGTCCAGAAAATCAAGGCTCAAAAGAATACAAGACAGAGCTGGCATTGTATTCAGTGGTGGAGCGCTTGCCTCGCATGTGATAGGCACTGGGTTCAAAAAAAGAATATAAGACATCTTCTAGGACCTCCTGGATGTGGGGGAAAAAAAAAGCTTTTCTAAACTCTGTACATAAAACATGAGGTCCCATATATTCTGAGGTCCTGAAGCCATTTTATAGTGGTCATAACTGGGAACAGTAACAAGACTTTGAGTTCTACCTTATCAATCCTGACTTTTCATTTCTCAAACAGCAAAATAAAAACTTGGCTTTTATAAGATTTTCTGGATGTGACCCAAATCAGAGGCAACAAATCCAAAAATAGACCTAAAGAGATTACATCATACTAAAAAGCCTCTGCACGCAAAGGAGATGATAGAGTGAAAAGACAATGTAGGGAATGGGAAAATATATTTGTAAAGCCACATATCAGATAATGGATTATATCCAAAATATATAAGAAGTAAAACAGTTCAATAGAAAACAAATAACAAAATAAAAATGGGCAAAGAATTCAAATAGACATTTCTCTGAAGAAGATAAAATGGACATGTATAATATCAAAAAATGTTCAACATCACTAAACATTTGAAATACAAATTAAAACACAATGAGATATCACCTCCTTTCTGTTAGAATGACTTATTTAAAAAAAAAAAAGATGAAAAATAACACACATTAGCCAGAATGTGGAAAAAATGGAAAACTTGCATATTGTTAGATGTTGGGTGAAATAAAATTAGTACAGTCATTATGGAAAATAGTGTGAAGGTATCTCCAAAAATTAAAAATTGGGCTGGAGGGAGAGCTCAGTGGTAGAATATATGCCTACATATGCGAAGCTCTGGGTTCAACCCCTAGCACCATCAAAATAAAATTTAAAATAAATAAATAGATACAGAACTACTGTATAATCCAGCAGCCCCAATACTGAGTATACATCCATTGGATATGAAATTAGCATACTGAAGAGCTATCTGCATTCCTATGTTCATTACAGCATTATTTACAATAGTCAAGACATAAAGTCAACCTAAATGTCTCTCAAGAGGACTAAAGAATAAAGAAGATGTGGTACACACAGTCATCCCTCAGTTTAATGCAGGACTGGTCCCAGGACCACCCACAGAAGTTCCTTCTATAAAAATTGCGTATTTGCATATAACCTATGCACATCTTCCCATATATTTAAAATCACCTCTGGTTTATTTATAACATCTAATAAATGTAAATGCTATGTGAATAGTTGTTATCCTGTATTTTTTAGGCAATGACAAAAATCTGCATTGTCTGTACAGATGAAATGTTTTTGAATATTTTTGATCTGCAACTGGTTATATCTGAACATGCAGAGGATCAACTGTATACATAATGAAATACTATTTGGCTTTAAAAAATAAAAAGAAATCTTGTTTTTTTGTGTGAAAACACAAATAAACTGGTAGGACATCTTGTTAAGTGGAATAAGCCAAACACAGAAAGACAAATACTATATAATCTCACACATGGAATATAAAAAAGCTGAATTTACAGAAATAGCAAGAACAGTGGTCACTAGAGGCAGGGAAGTGGTAGGGCTGCAGAAATGTGGTCAAAAGACACAAAATTTTAGTTAGATGGCAGGGAAAAGTTCAAGATAGTTATGGTACATCATTAGTTAATAACAATGTATTCTATATTTGAAAATTACTAAGAGAATAGATTTTAAGTGTTCTTATCACACACAAAAATGGTAAGTGTGTGGGCTAATGTATATTGTTAAATAGCTTGATTTAGCCATTTCACAATACATACATATGTCAAAACATCATGCTGCCCATGGTAACTATGCAAATTTTACTTGTCAGTAAATTAATAAGATACAAATTACATTTAAAGAAAGTGGAATTCAAATTAAAAAAAAATAAATTTTGCTGTCCCAAGCTAAACCACCAAAATTTCACCTGGGACACTGTAATTGCTTGGTCTTCCTCTTTCTCTCCATCTTTCCTGGCAACCAACAGATTCTCCATCCAGCAGCCAAAGTGACATCTTATCACTCTCCTGCCTCAAACAACTGAGTAGCTACAGATTGCTTCCACAGCCTCTGAGGCTGCCTGCCTCCTTAACTTCATCATCTCCCTTCCCATAACTGTGTGCCAGAATGACATGCTGCCTCTTTGTCACTGAAATACAACAAAACTATTCTCCTAGTAGGCCTGTGCATTTGTTTGTTCCACTGCTAGGAACCCCCTTCCTCTGCTCTTCTTATTACTTGCCTCTCAGGACCCCCCTTGAACATCACCTTACCTCATCTTTTTGGACACACCTTCACTGGTCAACCATTAAACCCATCAGGTAGTTTTTACCTTCACAACACTAACCAGAATCTGTAGTTATCCCTCACACTTGCTGAGGTGTTATGTGCTTCCACACCCATGTGGTTCACTGAGGGTCCCTCATACTTGACACTTGCTACACTAAACCTAACTTGGCTTTTACTGTTCATGAGCCACTACCGAGAGAGTACTGAGCTACTGTCAATCCAGTGGCACTGAACAGGCTTTGGAATAGCAGAGTAGCAGTTCTAAGTAAATACTCTTGTATTGGTTTGTTAAATAACAACACTGGATGTATGTGACTCATGTGAATACTTCTTTGGGGGATTTTAAATTTCATTTCAAAATAGTATAGTACGTAGCCAGGGGAAAGTAAAGAGAAATGTATATTACAGATCACTCCAACACAGCCTAGGTTATTTATATAATGCCAAGTATATGAACAAAAGTTAAACATTTGTGCTTTTATGTATTTTGTGTATTTTATACATATATCTTCATTTTTATATGATTTTAAATAGATCTCTACATAGGTCTAAAAATTTATTTGTTAAGGATTTTATATACATTTACATGTATTTATAACCATTTACTGTGTTTCAACTTCCAAGCATTCCTGGGCTTCTTTAGATATCTCCTAAGAGAATCTCTCTCTCTCTCTCTCTCTCTCTCTCTCTCACACACACACACACACACACACACATACACACACACACACATTTAGTAGATGGACACACTACCTTTATTTTATTTATTTGTATGTGGTGCTGAGGAGCAAACCTAGTGCCACACACATGCCAGGCAAGCACTCTATCACTGAGCTACAACTCCAGCCCTCCTAAGAGAATTTCTGAATGAGCCTCAAATGTTAATATAATACTGGGTTTAACTGACATATACAAAAGACACCAGACATAACAACTAAGCTTCCTGTCTTTCACTCCCCCAAGCCTATAACTCCTCTATCCCTGATCAGGTTCTGCTTTTATTCACTTACATACTTATTCAAGAAGTGTTTGGAGAGCACCTATCATGAGTTTCTCACTCTGCTGTTATCATTCCTTTTTAACTGCAAATTTTGTTTGTTCTTTTCATTCAACCTCCTTTATCAGCCTCTTTACATGTATGACAATTGTTTTTTGTGGTGGTGGGGGGCATGGGGATTGAACCCAGGGGTGCTTAACCACTGAACCATATCCCCAGGCTTTTTATTTTTTATCTTGAGACAAGTTCTCACTAAATCACTTAGGGCCTAAGTTACTGAGGCTGGCCTTGAACTTGCGATCCTCCTGTCTCAGCCTCCTGGAGTCCCTGGGATTTCAGGCATACATCACTGTGCCTGGCAACAAGTATGACAATTTTAACTACTCTTCCTTGAATATCCTGTCCTTTCCCCAGAGAGAATACTGTGTTTTTATGATCCTCAGGGATTCTGCAAGCACTTTTGTTCTAAAAAATAATCCATTCTGACTTATTATAATTAATTCTTTCCAATATTTATTGAGATGTTTAACGGGCCCTAAAAATTAAGGTGAAACCCTTGACCATCATTTTTAAAATCAAGGAGACAATAACATGTAAACAAATGAGTAAGTGGTAAATTTAAATACAAACACAGGTTTATTACCTTCTCTCTCCCCCAAGAGGGGAAAGAAGACGTGGTATTACATCTGACACAGTAATCTGCATGTGGTTGTTAGTCAGCAGATATACAGAAGAGGAAAGGAACAAAACATAACTTACTGAGTGTGCGGAAAGGCCTCTGACTTGGTGAATGGGAGAAGAAACCAGGCTTCAATGCATTCGTAATCACAATGTCGAAAAGGTCTTCAAAATCATTCCTACAAAGCAAAGTTTTCATTAACTTATTTTAAGAAATTAGAAAAGGTGCATAGAAAGCAGAACTTAACCTCAGCCCATCTATTTATCACTGCATCATTTCTTATCTTTTGGTCAACTTTTATGCCTGTAATCCCAGTGGCCCAGGAGGCTGAGGCAGGAGGATTGCAAGTCTGAAGCCAGCCTCAGCAATTTAGAGAGGCACTAAGCAACTTATACCCTATCTCAAAATAAAAAATAAAAAGAGCTAGAGATGTGACTCAGTGGTAAAGCACCCCTGGGTTCAATCCCTGGTACATCCCCTACTCAAAAAAGCAGCAGCACATTGACTCTAGGCACAGAGCTGGCTTTCTCCTGATGGTAATATTACACGGTAAATTCAATAGCTTCTAAGAGCTAGAAACTGGGAGAGACATTTTAAAATTTGGGGACTGAAATAATTTTGTTTGTTATATGGGTCTTAAAGAAACTAGCATTATAGCAAATCCAGTGACATTTCTCAGAGTACTCAAACCATTAAGAAGATATTTTATTTTGAAAATCAGTGTAGGCTTATAATATAGCAATTCTTAGAAGGCAACAATTAATGACTTTAAATATGTATTTAGTATCATATTAAGGATTATTTGGAATGGCAAAGGAAAAAAGTCCTTCTCCCTGACATTGGAGAAACAATATTTCCCCAATATTCCAAAATATTTTTACAACCCCAAACTGTGATAAATAGAAATAAAGATGAGAAGAAAAATTTGGGTTGTCTGTGCTAGTGAAAAAGGAGTTTTATAAGTCCTGACTGTTTATTCTGAAGCAAGTCCCGCTACCAGAGCAGCAAATGTCTCCCCTGGAGGCACCTTACAAGGCCTCCAGGACTTCAGCCTCAATTCAATTAAAGGATCTCAGCCTGCATATATTTCAGAAAGCAGATCTACTTGCAGATAAGTACACCACAGAATACACTGAACACGGAAATTCTGAGACTAAAAAATGTTGGTGGAGTCAGCTTGGAGGCTAAAACTTGCTCCACACAGCAATTCTGTGGGCTGAAATTTGAGGAGACTTTAGGGGAAATCTAACAGGCCACTGTAGAATCAAGCTCTGGGATATTTCCTTTTTGTTTTATTTTTCTTACAAGAATAACAATAAATTAAGTATTAACAATTATTGAAACTTTACCAACTACTCTGCCTAATAATTATCCTGTAGTATGCTATTTAAACATCCCCTCACACCTAGGAGGTATTATTGTCCAATTTTTAAAATGACAAAATTATGACTTAAAAGTGGTTACAAAATCCTGCCCCAGGTCACACAGTCAGTTGCAAAGCAGGGCTTGAACCCACATCTGTTTTATTTTAAAGTCTATTGCATTTATACTGCCTTGATTTTCACGGGTAACACTTCCATCCCTGGCAGTGGTGAATGGTATATGGCTCCACACTGAAATGGAGACAGAGGGGCTGTACTCCAGGAAAATGTCAGGAGTGTATTCTACAACTCAGAGTCTCTCAGTAATCATCCAAAGTTGAGAAATGAAATGCAGGGAAGACCAAAGGACCTTCCCCAAACTCTAAAGCCCAGATCATATGTTAGCTAAAAATATACTGGCCCCAGTTAATATTACTTTGCTAAAATGTATCAGGGGTAGGTTGCTATCAACAAATATTGAGGTATGTTATGAGAAAAAAATTATACTTGTCACTCAGCACTATTTAATATTTAATATAATAATATGGGTATAGTCCAACTCTTTTAAAAAGACACTGGTCTGGTTTGCTATCAATTTTATAAGACAATGAAAGTGGAATGACTCATTACTTACTTACCCAAGGATATATTCGCAGAGAAGTCTACAGTAATCACTGTGAGAACTGGTAATTAACAAAAGAATTTTCCCAGCATTCTTTAGCTGTCGAAGCCATTTTCTTACAGATTCTGGACAACTGTGTAAATATTTGCCTGGATCTCTCTTTATTTCTGGAAAATATAGTCCAGAGTTTTCTGAAAAATAAAAACACCAAGATTTCTTTTTAAAAATATTTTGACTAAGCATATTCTCAAACTAAACTCTTTCAAAACTATAAAATTAGAAGAATAAAAACTAGATTCAAACACTCTAGCAATAATGCCAATACTAACTACTTTCTAAAAGTGTTTTTTTGTTCTTTACTTTAAAAAATGATGGTTGAAAACCAGCCTCAGCAACTTAGTGAGTTCCTAAACAAGTTAGCGAGACCCTGTTTCAAAATAAAAATAAACAGGGCTGGGGATATGACTCACTGATTAAGCACCACTGGGTTCAATCCCTGGTACCAAAAAAAAAAAAAAAAAAGATGGTTGATAATGTCAGTTGATCATATTGGTTGAATATTAGATGAGAATAAACTGTTGAAACAGTGAATACAATATCATCAACATTTCCAATTGGTATTTGGACACCAATTGATTAATAAATATTCTTTCTCAGAGGCACAGTAGGTTTGTTTTTGTTTTGTTTAATTTTTCTAATGGAACACTTACCACACATGAGAGCCAATTTACAGCCTCTGAGAGGCACTGTGATGTCAAATGGAAAAAAAAAAAAAAAACAGGACCAAATAAGCCAGAGAAAGCCAGAAGGCCTAGAGCTGATGGAGAATACTGAAAGATTTGAGTCACTGAACTGGGACCACTGCCTCTGCCCTGCTGGGTCTCTCATAAGTCTACCGTTTTAGGCTAGGCTCTAAAGTGGACAGATGGAGGCAATATCTCTAGGTGTCGTGGTTAGACCATCCCTAGTACTTGACGCAGTGCCTCAAAAGCTGTGCATACAGCAGATAAGTTCAGATTTGGTTGAGATGCTTCTAGATTCACATGGTATTTTAGAAACACTGTTCTTTGAGCATGATAGTACTAATAAGCAGAGAAAGAGAATCCAAGTTCTTACTTTCTTTAACTGCTAGGAAAAGGACACAGGAAATGATAAAACAATGGGTGAATGTGCTTGTACTGAATGACACACTGTAATAAGTACACATGAACTACACCTGCAACCTTAACAGTGTGGTACACTTGAAATAATGGAAAAGAAGGTTATATTACAAGAATGTCAGGACAGAAGAGTCTCTAAGTGAAATAAATAAGCAAAAAGAAAAAAGCAGAGATAGTAAATAATTTGTGGCCTGCCTACCCAAGTATATTCCCCCTCTTCTTTGCTAGAGAGTGCTCAGGTTTGTTTGAGGTTTCCTCCTCCTCTCGGGGTTATGTGTGTGCCCAGGGAGGATCTGGGTCTCTATCAGTCTACACTCATAATGGTAACTCCCTCCATCCACCAGCAAATTGTTTGAGAAGGTAAAGGGGACCCAAGCATGGCCAATCAGAGCAGAACACTTTTGGGTGGCCCCTGGAGTAATATACATCACCAATACACGGGTGAATCTTCTTCTTCTAGGACTGGATTTTTGCTACAATCTTAAGTTCTACCTAGAACTACAACAGCTATTTTCAACACAAAGCACAAGTCCACCATACCAGGGATGACAGAGTAGAAATATGAATGGCAACCTGGGCTCTGTTGATATTGTGGGTCTCAAATTAAGCCACTGAACCAACTACCACTGGAAGTACCACTCAACCTCTGGGGATGGTTTCTGGTCATGTGAAACCACTCAATTTAATACACCAACTATTTGTAGCCTAAAACATCTTGATTAAGAAAATAATACATTGAAAGAATATTATAACCAGAACTCCCACCCTCCCCCCAAAAACCCACCTTAACAAACAGGCAAATATAACAATATGAGAATAATATTCAAATATCAGAAGTCTAAGAACAAAACCAGTTTGTGCCCTCCTGTATTCTGTCCTACAGGTACATTTGTGAGCAATTCTCTAGGCTCTCCTAATTTTCCGGAAACCCTGTAATGGCCCTTACAAAAGTTAAAATATATTTTGCTTTTAAGCAAAAAACAAAAGGCATTAAGAAAAGGCCAACTTAAGAAGAATATGTTAAAATGAAATGGCTGAGAACAGTTTGATGAGTGGGTGATTATCAATCATAATAAAATCAAAGAATTTATTATACCTAAGAGAGTCATACGTGAAATTATTTGACTCAGAAAAACAGATTTGGTAGCAAAAGGAATTTTATAGGTTGAATAACAAAAGATTTATAGTGGGAGGGCTGTGGCTGTGGCTGTGGCTCAGTAGTAGAGTGCCTGCCTAACATGTGTGAGGCACTGGGTTTGACCCTCAGCACCACATAAAAATAATTAAACAAAATAAAGCCACTGTGTCCATCTACCAAAAAATTAAAAATAAAAAAATTATAGTGTGTAATGACAAATATATTTATAGACTTTAATACTTGTGTACTCAGAAAACAACTGTTTACTGTTATTTTTTTCTAAGATATATGTGCTTAGTGCCATCTAGTGATCAAAATATAAATTACGATTGAAAAGCAACTTGGCTGAGCATGGTGCCACACACCGGTAATCCCAGCTACTGGGGAGGCTAAGGCAGGAATCTCGCTCACAAGTTAGAAGCCAACCTGTGCAACTTAGTGAGACCTGTCTCAAAATGAAAAATAAAAAAGGGCTGGGTATGTAGCTCAGTGGAAGAGTGCCCTTGGGTTCAATCCAGTACGGGGCGGGGGGGGGAAGCAACTGTTAATATTTCTAAATGAATAAAATGAAGCATATACACTTAATTTAAATTTCTCACCTAGATTAATTTTATATCTCTTAATAGACCTAATTTAAAAGAGAAAATATAATAATTAGAAAATTATACTCTGAAATAATATTGGAATTGTCTTTATTTTGTTCACAAGACACTGAAGAGGACAAGTACAAATGGATACCAATGGTAGATTAGGAGCTGCTACTACAAAAAATCACTGGCTGTCACTGGCAAACATCTTTTTGTCCCTTTGTAACCTCAAATTATTAAGGTTTAAGAGATATAATTACACAAGTACACATTCATCTTTTTTTAAAAAATAAATAAAGCTAGTAAATGAAAGGGAAAAAAGTTAAATACACTAACTGCTGAATTATAATTTTTATTAAATATTTTCCCCAAAGAGACTGGAAAGTCTTATAGGTAAGGAATACATTTTTCTGCTTGCATGGAACAGGCATTCAATGCATGAATCCCTGCATTAGTCAGGAGCAGAAATACAAACACTTACGTTTATTTATATTCAAAGTAATTATATGATTTGTAATACATACTCCAACAGTGACAAAAATTATATTATTCATACACCATCAAAATCACCCAAAATACCCTTCTTCCATTATTGCACTCCTATAAAAAATGTTTAATTATGATACTAACAGATAAATACTGATTAGACAAGATAGAATTTAGACCTAAGGTGGTAAGAAATGGTGTTGTTTGTTCTTAACTCACAAAGTAGCCTGTGTTTTCACTCCAAAAGGCATTCTACTTCATGGTCCTTTTATGTAACTCATTTTCCTGGCCTTTCCACCCCTCTTATATTCTCAGATGCTGGTATTTTTTTGTGTGTGTCCCAATGAGATTAAGGGTAATTGTTTTAAAAAGCTGGTTCTAAAGAAAAAATCGGTTTAGCTCTCTTATGTTAGAAATTTGGCTATTACACTGTCACGGAAATAAAAATGTTGCAGAAGTCTGATGTTGCAGAAGTCTGATGTGTATATAAAATGCCAGCATCAATCATACAGGATTTAGGGACCTCTGGTGGTTTTAAATAAAAAAGAGCATTAAATTGGATATTAGATATTAGAAATACTTCCTTATTTTGATAATACCACATCACTATTTCTGTCCTCACTGAATAAGGAAGCATTTTTCTTGTTAACTGTACCACTATTTTTCTTGTAATCTGCTTGTTTTCAAAACTGTGGTCCAAAGGAGTGGAGATGCTGGGATGCTAACATCTCCACTGTCAGCATCCAGCTAAGGTCTGCCGCTATTTCCACTACAGAACATCATTTAGGAGATTTAAATATTTACAGCATTTCCCAGTTATATAAGAACATGCTAGTAAACAGATAAAGTGTTTAGCTATGAATTATTTAAATGTGCTTGCTGTAAGGATGATCCAATTTTCTAATAAAAAGTAAAATTCTTTCTTGGCTAAGACTGAAATGTTTTTTCAAGAATTAAAGACATAAATTTCTTTTGTTTATGGGGGCAAAGAATGAAATTAAAATTTAATATTAAAACATTTCCTGTTTGTTTCTATATGATTTATATCAATCTAATATTTTATTTGTCAATATAGAAATCTCAAATAGTTAAAGTGAAAATTTATATGTCAAATATAACGGTTGAACTAGAGAAATGAAATACATAATTTATTGAAAAACATAATTTATAAAATTTACCTTTTACCAGTATCTGTCTTCTATCTCTGTGATTTAATTCACGTACTTGGATCCTTCCCTAAAGATCCTGATTTAGTGGGTCTAGACTAGGACCACAATACTGTTGCTTTTTAAAAAGCTCTGCAAGTATTTCTAATATGACATTGTGATTAAGAATTATTGCTCTAAGCTAGGCGCTATGGCTATGCCTGTAATCCCGCCAGCTTGGAAGGCTGAGGTAGGAGGATTGCAAGTTCAAAGCCAGCCTCAGAAAAAGCAAGGCGATGAGCAACTTAGTGAGATCCTGTTTCTAAATAAAATACAAAATAGAGTTGGGGATGTGGCTCAGTGGCTGAGTTCCCCTGAGTTCAATCTCTGGTGCCCCCCTCCCCCAAAAAAGAAAAAAATATATTGCTCTAAAATATAAGAACTAGGGTTCTTAACTATTTTCTATATATTTTATACGATTCACTGAGAATCACAGGTTCTCAGGGAGCAAGTATTTCTTAATTTTATAGCATATTATCTAATATATAGCCATGAAGACAATGAAGTCAGTCAATAAATATTAACTGCCACTGGTTATATTAAAAGTCATTGTGGTTGATGATCTTAAAGTGTTTATTCTTATTTTACACAAACCCAGAATGGTATTCCACATTT